GGCACAAGACAAACTTTCTGCCCTTCAGAAAAGCAATCTTCGCGAAATGACTCTTTTATGGAAGCGTATGAACTTACTATCGGAAGATTTCTTATCTCGTAAGGCGAAACTTACCACTATGGCCCATGAGGTATGGAGAAAAAGCCGGTCTGCTAATAAATTCTCTGATTTCTTACCCGTATTGAAGAAACTCGTCTTGGTTGCCCACGAAGAAGGGACATGTCTGGCGGCGGATTCTTCACAGACCCCATATGAAGCCATTATAAATATTTATGAGCCGAGGATGACGATCTCCCGTATGGACGCGCTTATTGGGGAAGTTAAATTCTGGTTACCACAACTGCTACGGGATGTTATAAAGAAACAGGAATCAGTAAAAGACCCCATCATTCCGTTCAAAGGACCTTTTCCCGAGGACAAGCAAAACGCACTCGGCAAGGATCTGATACGTACCTGGAAGTTCGACTTTGATTCGGGGCGACTGGATAGTAGTCCGCACTCCTTCACCGGCATGACTAAGGAGGACTGCCGTATCACGACGTTTTACTCCGAGGATGATCCTTTGAAGTGCTTCCACGCTGTCATTCACGAGGTGGGACACGGCAAATACGAACAGAACATGGGGCCGCGTCAACTGATTACTCAACCCGTCTGCACAGCCCGCTCCTATGGTGTGCACGAAAGCCAGTCCCTCTTCGCTGAATGCCAGCTCTCCCCCGCAAAGCCCTTTTTGGAGTTCATTCAGACCAAAATGGCGGCCCACCTCGGCCCTCAGCCGGCCTTTAACCTGGGGAACTTCATCCATGCCGCTCATAATGCGAAGCCGAACTTCATCCGTCCTGGCTCGAATGAGGTCTGCTACCCGTTGCACGTCATCCTGCGCTATGAGATCGAACGTGACCTTGTGGATGGGACACTGCAACCCGAGGAGGTGCCCACTGTGTGGAATGCAAAGATGAAGGAATATTTGGGGATCGAGACGACCGGGCGGGACGACCTGGGCTGCCTCCAGGACGGTCACTGGTCGCAAGCCTCCATTGGGTACTTCCCGACGTACCTGATTGGGGTGTTGCTCGCGGCGCAGCTCATGGCAA